TTAGGCTAAATACAGAGAACCATAGAAAACTTGCCTGACTGATGCATTCGGAATTGGTATTGTCTGAGCAGAAATGCACATTGAGCACGGTATCCTTTCCAGAGACATTATACCTGCGATATGAATAGAACAAAATAAAATTTTAATTACAATTTCTGAAGTAATGTTTACCTTATGGTATTGAGTCACATCAATTGATTTTTGAGAAAAATTTGGGATATGATTCACACATGGTACAGTAAAAAGGTTATAATTATGGTATGAGAATTATCATTCACAAGCTATGTCCCAATGTTGTCTAACCTTTCAGTAAACAGCATATTTGAACGTTAAATACGAACATATAATTATTCTACATTAAATCTTCTTACTGTAGCTACATTAATTGCTCTGAACTTTCCGCTCATTATTCGCATTTACATTAAGCAATAACTCTAATGAATAAAGCATTCTTATTACGTATAGCGAGATCAATAGATAAATTTGTAGAATTCATAAAAAAAACGAATCTTACCTGTAACCAACACAAAATGCGTAATCTATCCATACAGCATCACTTTTGTAGTAAGTTCTATTTACACCGTCAAGCACAACATGCCTGAGCATCGCAGTTTTCTCCACTGGTTTCGTTCCACTATCTAAAATTTTCTGTTGTTAGAGGTAGATGTATTTGCCTGAGAGACAACTTACAGCCTGCAGAAAGACGCATAAATGGTTTTTTCTTTTTACTTCGAGGTAATGCAGCTGGCTGAGGCAGGGCGACACTTCGTGGATAACGCTTTTCGCATCTATTATTAAGACATTTATGGCACGAAAGTTCTAAAAAAATTGGTGACTTACTTCTCATGACATTCTTCTTTGGTCAGGAAATTATTTCCACTTTTTCCACATCCCGTATAGTGGAAGCCTCTACATTGTTTTGTCCTCTTGTTGAAATAATACCTACACAAAACGTTCAATTACAGAAAAAAAATGAGCTTTTGATTGTGAAATTTATAGTATTCTACGATAATTGTTTGAATGAAGGCACATGAAGCTTGACTGGTCAGGATGAAATTGGCTCGTCCTTACCTATTAGACATGGCTTCGCACCAGCTACCTCGATCCAAAGGTTCCATGCAGGGATCTGAAAGTAATTTGTAGGGAAGAATCTGGCCGTATCACAGCATAATCATAAAATTGGCAGTTTTGCGGCTGCCTTAATCCCCGTCAATTTTTGAAAAGTTTATTGATTAATTAGTCCAAGCTCAAACATAATAAATTAGTTAACTAATTTGTTGGCGAGCATGTGAAAGAAGAAAACTTTGAAATACGCCCGCGTTCTCGACACAATCTGTATTCTTTAAAGATTTCCTTCTATGCCATAAACAGCACGTCCTTCCTTAATTCTGCTTATGCAAAAAGT